GGTGGCGGTGGCGGCAGCCGCGGCCATGAGGAGGAGGAGTTCTTTCACTTCTGGCTGATCTCAGTCTCCCCTCCCTGGCTCTGGAGTGCCATGCCAGTCACTTTCTTCAGACAGGCCGAGCAGGTGATACTGACTCCTGACTGGAGGCTTTGTGTGTCTGAGAGTCCTTTTTTTTCCTGATGTGCAGGACTCTGTTGCTGGCTTGGCTCCAGGAGGTGCCCACTAACCCCAGTGAGGCCTGTGAGGTCTCTGTCTATTAAAGTCCTCTTCAGTCTTTTGTCATTCACAGTCCTCTGGGGGTACCCTGCCCCCATCTTTACTAATGGAATTCCCATGCTTCCTCCCCTCCTGGCCAGTTGCCAAAGGCCTCTGGGAAAGGTGAGGAGCCAGCATGCCCCTCCCCCACTGCAGGCGGGCGAACTGTCTGCAGGGAAAACCAGCTATGGGAGTGGTGACGGAGATGGCCGCACGGTCTGATGTTCTGGCCCGTGTGACAGTATCTAAGCAGCTCAGATTTCGTCATCACACAGCTGTCTCTGGACAGTAACTGGACTGAGGGGTCTTTTAAAACATGCCATCGTGGGTTGGTCCCTTGTATAACTAACCTAAAATCCTGCAGTTCTGGTTGGTTTCTTAGTTTGTTATACATGTTTTCTGAAACCCACTTTGTTAAAGTTAAAAGGGCCTGTAAAGGTTCCACTTTAAGCCAGAGTAAGAACAATGTGATTCCGCTTCTTATGCATGACCGTGAATGTGGGCGAGCTATTGAGCATGCTGCCAAGTCACACGGGTGTGGAGCGGTCACGGTACAAGTAGCAACCGTGCATTACAGATACCAGTGGTTGCTGACAGGCCTTGTGGTGAGCCCTGGTCACATCTGCTGCAGGCTTACTCGGGCAGGAAAATACAAAGTGAGGCCCGGTGCTGCCGGGCTTGCCTGTTGCTTTGGTAACTGGCAGACATTGCACACTGGCTCCTGTAAGCTTGGGAGGAACAGGTTTGGACAAGAACAGCGGGTGAATTCCAGGCATGTTGAGTTTGCGATCTGGGACCTATGCTTCAGGAATTCAGGAGGGAATCTGGGCCAGTGATATAAATTTGGGAAATGTCAGATATAGATGGTAACTAAAGCCAGGAGGCCAGACAGGCCCACCGTCAAAGCAGTGAGTGCAGACAGCAAAGAGTACGGGATGGCCGGCAGAGCCCCGGGCCTCCAGCTCGCGATGAGGAGGAGCCTGCGCAGGAGTGGCGAGAGCAAGAGCAGAACCAACCCTGTTCATGTTCTGGAATCAAGACTGAGGAGCAAGTGCCCCTCAGGCCTGTGCTCCTCAGGGGCAGGGTTGTGTCTGCCCATCTTAGTGTCCTCAATAGCCGGGAGTGTTCCTGTCTCCCAGTGCAAGACAGCGCTGCTTTTTCATGTACTGAATGAACTCTTCTCAGTGTCTGTCTGATGGGTTTTTTTCCTTCCACAACCTGTATCATAAAAGGGATACAGTGTTCATGGTTGACTTTACTTGTGAGCTTGAGAAGCTCTTGTCCCCAGATGCCTTGTCCGCGTCGCCCAATTCCCATCACTCTGCTATTCCAGGAGCCAGTGTCATTCAAGGATGTGGCTGTGGACTTCACGCAGGAGGAGTGGCAGCAGCTGGGCCCTGAGCAGAAGACCACCTACAGGGATGTGATGCTGGAGACCTACAGCCACCTCGTCTCCCTGGGTGAGCAGAACAGCTCTGAGTTGCTAAGACGTACAGGATTTCCCTCATGTTTACTGACTTTGAATTTGATGGGACACATTTGAGTCCTGTATTTTGGGCACCAGGCAGGGCATTTTGGTCTTTACCTCCCCAGTGAATGGTGCTAATTTGAGCCCGGCTCAGGTGGGCACGTCAGTTGTGTAGCTCATAAGGCAGCACTTTCTGCAGACAGCAGAGATCCGGAGCCCAGCAGCCAGCTCAAGTTCTCTTTTATTTCTGTCGACAGGGTGTCACATTGTCAAACCGGAAGTAATCATCAAGCTGGAGCAAGGAGAAGAGCCCTGGAGAGGAGGAGAATTCCTGCTTCATAGTCGCCCAGGTGTGTGAGGAGGCAGCGAGGAGGTTACTACTGACTTGGCAGTGTTCTTCCCAGGAATTGTTAATGGTCCCAAACCTTTAGAAGCGACTAGAGATAGTTACCTGTGTGCTTCAGCTACTTGACTCTCACTCCCCAAAACTTCTGTTTGTAGAGCTCGCCCATGCTTACCTCCCAGAACCCAAATGCAGTCACTTTTCTTCCTCTTAAACCGTTTTCAGTGACCCACTGTATAGATTTGTTTTGAGACACTCATAAGTCTGCTACCAAAAGGTAACTTACGTGACCTTATGTTAGTACCTTCCTCCTTCTTTACTCTGCAATGCCTCAGGTGTGTGTCTGTCCCCATTTCACTTGTCACTCTCTTTCTTTGAGGTGAGAGCTCAGACCCCTACCTGTGCCTCATCCAGTAGGTTCTGTTCACCTGTGTCGCGTGCACCTGTGCTACTCATTTTTCTGGACCTCCGGCTCTTCTGAGGGTGGTGACAGCAGGAACTGGGTCTCCCTCTTTTCCTGAGTGCTCATCATCTCATCTCTCTTATTTCCTGTTCTGTCCCCAGTGCCTTCATGCTGTCCTGTCACAGCAGGTGCTCAAATTCGATGTATAGAGAGGAACTGGGGTTCATTCACCCTCCTTCCCCTCCCCTCCACAGACGTGTCTGAAGGATTGCTTCCTCCTTCAGGGGTTTGTTCTATAAGGGCTCCTCCTGCCTCAGGTCTCTGGGGTTTCTGTTCATCTGTTTTATGTGCCTTGCCTGCCCTGTCCTCCAGTCCAGTGCTTCCTGGGCAGCACCCCTTTTCTACTTGGATTTGAATGAACCTGTGTTCATCTGAAGTTCCAGTTGATCTATCACTTGTCTCACAGGATGAGCCTACAGTGACTCCCTGTTAATTCCTAAAGGGACTTAAATTCCTCATCCTCTAAGAATCACCACAATATCAGCCCTGTATTGCCTGGAAAAATCCATTTTCAGTTGTTTCCTGAAACACTGCTAAACTCCATTTATTCCATATTCCTAAATGTGTTCTGTTCACATGATCATTGCCTCTACACAGCTTTGCGTTTCAGTGGGGTGCTTCGTTTGGCCACATAACGCATTCTCTAAGTCAGAGCTAAAGTTTTCAAACCCTCCCCTCTGTGGAGTTCTTCCTGCCAACTCTTATCCCTACTCTAATCTCCTCTTTCTCAACTTTGACTCCACTCATGGCGATACCTTAAAAAAAAGTTAGGTCTGATCAGGAATCTGTTACTTGATAGCAGATATTTTTTGCTTGAGGCTGGATTCCGCTGCTGGATTATAATCCTATAAAGAAAAGAATATGTTCTCCCTCGCCGCAGTATGTACATATAGTAAGTACACAGTTATTTCTCTGATTATCTGAGGAGCCAGGCAGGTGGCAGAACTTCCTTGTCCGTCATTCAGAAGTAATTTACAGGTAATTATGTCTGAGCCTGCGTGTCTAGGTCCATCCCCATGTATCCTGCAGGTACTTGAAAGATACCTATATAATTCAGATTAAAAACAGCTTCTCTGATTGCTGTTTAGGGTTCAAAAGAAATAAGAAATAAAGTCATACTTCCTAAGAGATAGGTTTTGATTAAGAAAAAAGAGCAGAGCCATGTGGAGTTATCTGAAACTTGGCATCTCACATGGGATGATAATGTTCCACTGCAGGGCTAAATTGCTGTGCTAAAAGGGTTGTATGGAGAGTAATTACTTTCAACTTTAAGGGAAAATGGAGGTACTGGCAGTGAGAAAGGATTTGAGAAGTGTTTTCTTAAAGCATGAAAATTCCCTGCGAGACCGGTTTAGAGTAGATGAAGGCTGGAAGTCAAGCAGACTGAAACAGCAGGAGCAGAGGCTTGGGGCTGAAAGTGAGCTGGGCATTGCTGGTGCCACAGCAGTCTCAGGACAAGCTGATAGACAGGGCCTTGGACTGTGATCTGTCTCTCACACTTGCTGTGAACTAGCATGATGGAAGGTGCCGACCCACCTCCTCCCAGACTGATTCCTCCTTGGATATATCTTATGACTCTCTCCCTGTCCAGCAGATGGGTTAATTTTTCTGGAGGAGGAATTACTTTTGTAGACTAGTATAATCCTAGTTTGGATTCTCACTGTAAATGCAGGTGGTAGAAAGTATTCTTTGCCAGATTTTCCTCCTCCTTTTACTGTTGCTATTTTGACAATGGACTCATGGAAGCTGTAGGTTTTGATGTGGATGACAGCAAGTACAATAGTCAAGTTCATCTAGAAATTTGTAAGATAAATTAAAAAAAGGTCACAATTTTAGGAGCAAGTTGAGGAATGTGATTTTTAATGTTTGTACACTAAATGAAACTCAGGAGTAGGGAAGTGCTGTTTGCATTTAGAATTAAGTTACAGTGCTATGTAAAAGACAAGTTTAAGGAAAATATCAGGAGATTGAAAATGAATAAAACAATTGCTAAACTTATTGAACATGTATTTTGTGCCAAATGCTACTCTGAGCACGTGATATTAACTTCTGTAATCCCACCACAACCCCACGAAATAGGTACTGCTGTCTCTGTGTTGCCAGTGGAGGGTGCTAAGTCAGAGGGCAGTTCCATAACTCTCCCTAGTCACCTGCCAGGGTTCATGCCACATTGTTCATACAGGAACAAGTAGAGTTTCATGGTCAGAATGAGTTCAGTTTAAATCATAATCGTTAGAATAATTAAGACAGACATGTTCTGTGGTCTATTTTACACTTCCTGTTGGACATATCTGTTCCTGGAACTCTCGTTCCAAGAGGAACAGAATTAGAATTAGAGCCCTGGTTACAGGACTATTACTCTAAACACCAGGAGATTTAGTGTCAGTTTACTTGGCACTTCTTTGTGGAATCTGAAAAAAAAGCTTTGGAAGGACCTAGAATAGTTAAAATGCTACCACAAAAATCTTGAGTATAAGGTGACTGTGCCCCAGACTGTGATCTGTCTCTCCCAAGTTGATATGAAATGATGCTGTGTGAAGTTCTGCTCCTCCAAAACGAATCCATCCTTGGAAAGATCTTCTGACCCTCTTGTCCTGCACCACTCCTTGTTGCTCTATCACTGGACCCCATTTGCTGGAGTTCTCTTGTGTCTGTCTCGTCAGTCACTCATCTGGCATCCTGTGTGATGATCATTGCTCTGTGCTTCTATTTTACCTTCTATACTCAGTTTTGAACAAGATCTTATAAAGTAGTAAAGGTCAAAGGTGCTTGTATTTTTGTTAGTTTATTTTCCCTTTTGTCACCACTGGG